TGAAATCTCTGGACACTAGCATCACAACGTCCAGAGGCCAACCAGCCGTCCCCTTTAAGGCAACATCAAAGCCAGTGAAGGAGCAAAAATCAAAATGGCTGACACACACATACAACAATCAAAACGGCAAAAAAAACTGACTCAATTCGACTGACTCAATGTTCTTTGCAGTGGCCTTTGATGCTGAGAATCAGCAGAAGAAACATCAGTGCACATGTAGGCAATATGATCAAAATATTGATATTGTACAAAAACGGTACAAAAAAACTTTTCTTAGATCAGCCGAAGAACTAAAAACAATGAGCTCTTTCAATTTATGAGCTGAACTGAATTGACATCAATTGGTGGCTGACTAAATACTTTTTTGCCCCACTGTATATATTCATGTATATGTATATATATTTATATATACTGATTATTAAAATAATACAATTTTTAACATCTTAGGTGTTTTGTGTATGTTAACTTGTTTGGCTTATGCATACTAAAAATCAATATAAATTTCACTCAAAAATGTATTATTAAAAAGTTACAGCAGTCCATTTTAATTCAGCTTTCTTAAATTCAAGTTACAATTCAGCACCCTGCATCAACTTGGATTCAAACTGGAATTTATAAATCAATAATTTACTTATTTTAATTTTCAATAAACAATTTAGTTCTAAATTGTTCATGATTTAAACATCAAATTAAGTCAGTATGCAATCAAAATTCACCATATTTAATTTATAATAAACATTTCTGATCTTAGGAACTTTTTATCACTGAACAAAGTAAAAAATGTCTTTCATCTTTCAGTGCAACTTTCCTTCTCATCTGAAGTTGCCAAACATTCGTAATTTTCAACCCCTATCCTCCAACCACTATACATTTTTGTATATGAATATTGTTTAACTTAAAAAATGCCACATTACGGATATAAAACAGCTTGCGAACCCTTCATGTTCGCTTTAAAGAGTGTACATAAAGAGCAGGTATATTAGCACTGTGTGGTTTATTCACCATCAAACGCTCAGCGTAAACTTTAAATGCGCTTATGGTGTTTGCATGTGGTGCAACACTCTCAGCAGAAATGCAAAAAATGTGATTTTTATCAATGGTGTCTAATGCATAAACTCAAAATATGTGAGCTAGAGGGGAGGGAATGCACATGACCTTATGAAAATATTTCCATCATGCAGGCAGCTCTGAATATAATTTCAGCGCCGACACACTGGTCTCTTTCAGTCTCCATCACATCCTATTTAAAACTCCATCTAAATGAGCACGCAAAAGCTAAACGAAAATAGGGCCAAATGTGTCGGTTGTTTGGGTTAAATATTTATGCGTTCGGGAAAAAAAAAGACAAAATTAAGTGATCTGTGGCAAATTTAACGGCTGCTTAGGATTATTTATTTCACAGGTGCACGGCGAGGAAAACACAGACGTTATGTAATCAGCTGGAAAATAACGGGTCATCCTAACAAATCCCTATCTGTCACATTGACATCACATAGCGGACAATAAACTTTTCAACCTGCATCCTGAGGTGAAGCAGAACCATGAAGGAGCTACATAAATAACTAGTCAATAACAATTAAACAACAACAGTGCAACATTAGTGGACTGAAAATGGAAACGGATATGGAGAGACAGAGAAACAAAAACGGCAATTCATCAGTCTAAATATATACAGACAAGTTCTGAAAACTTTAAAGGGACAGTTCATCCAAACATGAAAATTGTGTCATTATTTCCTCATGTCTTTCCAAGCCTGTATGATTTCCTGTTTTCAGCGGAGTACAAAAGAAGAAATTTTAAATAACATACTGGTCACTCTTTTCTAGGGACTGGAAGTTTCAAGCTTCAAAAAAACACAAAAGCACCATAAAGTATTAAAATAAAAGAAAAAAGTATAAAAAATCAAATTCATGAACAATTCATTTCAGTCTGCTTCTCACATCAAGAAATCATATGGCCTCAGAAGAGTTTGCACACAAGCAGTTTCGGACTATAATTATTAAACTTTTGTCATTCTGTAGCTTTAAATCCCCAGTCTTCATTTACTTATGTTACAAATATTGATTTTATGATCTTCAGCAACAATATCCTAATTTTCTGATAAAATTCAGTTTCTTTTCAAGGAACAAAAATGAAATGATATTAAAAAGATGATATTAAAATTATATTCATTTGGATGACACACTTAAGGTGTGTTCACACTTGTAGTTCGGTTCGTTTGGTTCATTTGGTCCGGACCAAAAAGGAAAATAATACATTTGGTCCTGGTCTGCTTAGCGTTCACATTGGCATTTTTGACACCGAACCTAAAGGCATAGTGATACATTCACAACCTGACTGGTCAGCTTGAATGACATGTATATCGTGACGGAATTCACCGAACACCCCAAACAAAAGGTGCGTTGACTTAAAGCGGAGCTGCTCCACGTTTGCCCTCTGCTCATTTTGTTTTGGTTACACCGCGTCTTCAAATTATGTCGCATAGCGTTGCATCTTGTCATGACTTCCTGTTTTTGGTTCGTTTAGAAGTATTTGGTCCGTGTTGCGGTCATATATCATTCGAACCGCACCAAAGTTTGTTTGGAAGCGGACCGAGACCCATCTTTTCAGCGGTCTCGGTCCGCTTGTTTTGTGCGCACCAGGGTTCGGATGGCAGCATTCAGACATGCTCAAATGAACAGCACTAACAGAGCAATCGCACCAGAATTTTTTTTTAATTTTCATATTATATTGTATTATTATTAATATATTTCACAAATGTTACACATCAATGCATCAACATCTGCATTTATGATACTTGAATGATTTTTTTTTGTCATTTTGAAGCATAATTATACTCAGAAACTCTTTCTTTTTTTGTAAGGAAAGTTTCTTTTTTTTTTTTTTGCTCCTTTAGCTAGTGGAACTTGATGCAAATTTCTGAGTAAATTAAGCTCAAACATCCCAAATTAACATAAAAACTGCTGACACAACAAAGTCCACTGAGGTTGAACTACGGCTTGCCCTGTGTCTAAAGGAATGGTACAGTAAGGTAGCCATAGCACATTAATTCCACATCCAGTAGCCCAGTCATTAAGGTAAATTTCCAGCTTCCCTCATCAGAGATAGAATTTCCACCTCTCTGACTGAGGCCCTTGATGTCTTGCACCTTGGGCACCGGGCAGAAAAGCACTCGGACTGACTTTTTTTTTTTCTTTCACAGGGTTCACAGAATCTCCGAATGCGTGGCCTCCCAGCCAAAACCCCCAGCACGATTAATTTAGTAACGGGTTATTAAGCTCAGACATAAATTGCAGCCCAGGACATTTTAAATGGAAAAGGGGGACTGATTTATTGAGGCTCCGGAGACAAAACAGGTTTTTTATTTTCCATTTATTCATCGGCACTCTCTGGGAGTGGTAACTCGCAAGGAATTCACGAAACGAGAGGCAGGAAAGAGGGAGCGAGAGGGAGGAGGGCAGGAGGCAACAGCAACCCTGATCAAAGATATCACTGGCCAGAGCACCGCGGTGCCCTTGAGTTCTCCACACTACAGATGGGTTGGCAGAGACTTCTCAAAACCAAACACGACGAAGAATTATACGGATTTGCTGTTTGGAGGATTGGAGGCACCTGTCTGAAATCTTCACAAAAGCACTCTTATGCTGATAAGGATATTATAAATCAAAGACTAAAAGTAAAGCCCAAGGTTATTTTGAACTCCAGATGTCTTCTGACAGCTGTCTGAAGTCTCTTTCTTACTTCTTTGCCTTGATTACCAAATCTTGCACTGTTCTGACCCATTATCGATTGACTTCAGCGCGATACTAAATCGAGACAAATAAACAGCAAACAAATAAACAGCCTCAGGTATAAATAGATAATTCAGTAATTCTAAATTAATTTCCATTTATTTAATTAACATGTTAACACATTCAGTTATTTTTTTAAGGAAAGAAAACATTAAAGTAGCATATAGAATCAGATTTGTATGAAACAATGTACTTTTATAGTTATTAATTTATAATTTATTAATTTATATTATTTTATTTTATAGTTCAATTATATTATATATTGTTTTATTATTATTATTATTTTATTAAATCAGTTGAAATTTATCAAATAAAAATTACTTAATGAAAAATTTAAGGGGGTCTGAATACTTTCCGTACCCACTGTATATATGTGTGTGTTAAAAAAGGCAAATCCATATTTAATTCTAAATTCTGCTCTTACATCTTACCTAGATTTGATTTACAAATAAATGCATCAATGCATCAAAATGCGAGCGAAAACTAACACTCCATGGTATTAAAGATTTAGAGTCTGTAAATACTATGGTATGAAAACAGAAGTCTATGAACATTATCATGTCCACACATTAAGAATAATCTTTCTGTTTCAAAACAGAAGAAACATCTGATAACCATCCTGATCAAATGGTCGTGAGGTTCTCCTACTATCAGGACACGTTTGATTTAGAACTCTGTCAGATCAGAGACGGTTTTCAGTAAATAAAGAATCACTGATCCTTACTGTCTTGCTAACATGCATCGTCGGTTTTTCCCCTGGAAGATGACCTCACAGACAACCCTATGGTCTGGACACGACCGTCTGCCGCTATTCATGCAGACCAAGTATTCCCTAAATGGATAAACCATAATATCCTCTGGTTTCTCTGCTACCGACCTCTCTTACAAGGCCATGCCGAGCTTCAGACAAGTGCAAAATCAGAAAAATAATCTAACGGCGCGTGGAACAATCGTAATAACAAGAACACAACTCTACAGGGTACATGTTTAAAATCCTGTAAGCAGTCAAAATGGAGGCAGAACGCAAGCAGGAGAAATTTAACTGATCTGAATTGCTGAAACATGGTGCTTCACAGGTACCCATGAGACCAGGATGTGCCGGTCCAGACATATGACAATTCGGTGCTCAAATTCTCCTTCGCTCCACTACCTTTGAGCTTCCTATCATTTGGAAAATCGTCTCTCACTCCATTTCTCGGTTTTGCTCACCTCTGGAGTATCCTTCTTGAACTCGCGGCTTTGGTCGATGAGTTTTTTCCTGGACTGCTCAGTTTCATCCTGTCTGTTGGCCAGGGCTGCGGCGGTGGCATCCAGTTCTTTCTGTGGACAGATAAGGGAAACGATTCAGATGAGGTTCCAGAGTAACGTTTTTGGTAAATAAATGACATGACATCAGCGAGTCCTTAAAATAGTGCCTAAATATCAACCTTGGATTGACAGAATTGGCAATTATTTCAGTTTTTGGATTATCAGAACCGATTTGTCTTCCATGTGACTATCAGATTTGAAAGGAAAAAAGTCAAATGATAATTTTCCTGTTATTTACTCGTGCCAACTTTGTTCCAACAACCACTGAAACACTGAAGGATCGTTGAAAAGAACTAGTTTATCCAAATCGGGCTAAATAAATCAAGCTGGATTCAAAATGTCAACTTAAGAACCAATTCATGAATGATTTATTCAATTTTAATTGTGAATCAGAAATGAACCATTTCTTTCAATTATGAAGCACTGAAAAGAACCAGTTGATTTAATTCAGTGAGTTGGATTCAAAATGTCAGATAAGTGAATGAATTGCTCAGTTTGATCAATGAATTGTGAATCAAATCAACTGATTGACTGCAAAGAAGCGGTTGATTAAATTTACAATTCGAGTTAAAAGTTTCAGTGAGTTGGATTCAAAATGTCACTTTAAAAATCGATTTGTGAATGAATAGATCAGTTTGAATTGAAAAACAAAACAACTGATTCACTGAAAAGAACCAGTTGATTTGATTCACAATTCGAACTAAAAGTGTCAGTAAATTGGTTCCAAAAATCAACATAGGAACTGATTTGTGAGTGAACTGCTCAGTCTTAATTGTGAATCAAATCAATTAATTCACTGAAAAGAACCAGTTGATTTGATTCACAATTTGACTAAACGATTCAGTGAGTCAACTTAAGAACTGATTAAAAAATTAATCATTCAGTCCGAATTATGAACTTGGCACCACTGTATGAAGAGGTTAGCAACAGCTTTTTGTTGTCCACAAGCAGAGTCATCAACCTCAGACCAATCGCGTTTGCTAAAATCGAAAGCTGTAAAAACAATACAACAGAACCTTCTCGCCAAACATCACGTCTATTTTGCAGGAAACACGTGTTTTATAAGGTGTGGGAATACAGCTCAGTTTGCACCTGCAGGCATACTGTGGCTATAAACCTCTTGCTCTGACTAGCCAATCAGATTCCCAGGAAAGTTGCGACAAACACACCGCGATTGGCCGTCGCATCCGTCAGTCACCCACAGCGCGCTGCAGTCCCACCCCTGGTGGGCCTCGTGAAAAGTCAGCAGTCTGCGGTCCCTGCCGTCCCACTCTTCTCCTCTCAACAGCAGGGAGCTGAGCTAAAGAATATCGTCTGACATCTGGGAGCCAGATGCTGGGAACAAATCAACTTAATTAGGCTGGAACTCTGTGCACCAGACTCCCCAAACCTCCAACACAACAACTGGGGGGCTGAGTCACCACAGTCTCGCCCTAGTTTTACTCTCCTCTGTTATTATCACCTCCTCCTTCCACACAGGAAGACACATTGCTCCGCAAAACACTCCGATGGAGCGTCGTTCGGCTAGTCTGGCAAGGTAAAAGCACGAGGGCTGATCTCCAGGGACAAATCTGGTTTTAAAATACCATCCCTAGAGATGGGTGTGGATCACTGGTTTCTGGGTCAATGGGACATGTTTTAGATAAAAACGTCATGCTATGTAAGTGGGCTATGGTTCTGGTCTTCCTAAATGGCTTGTTATTAATACAAGCGGTGAGACCGTGACGGAAATAAACTATGACATAATGCGTTTACTCTAACAATGCACTGACATGATATGTACGCACTGTACATGAGCATTATTAAGGGTAGCCTATATACATTGCCTCTACGTAATCATGAAATATATATATACTTGTCTTAAACCATAATGCGATTTTTAAGGTCGTGCAGCCAAAATTACAGAAAATATGAATCATAATACAGGAAATGTTGCACTTTTAACTTAGGAAACCATATGTGAATAAATCATTTTAACCTGTGAACCAGATCAAAGTTTTCAAAGAAAAGAATCTGTTGATTTGATTCACAATTTCAACTAAACGACTGAGGTGGATTCAAAATGTCAACTTCAGAACTGATTGCTAAAGCCAGTGAAAATGACAAGAAATATGAATCATAATACAGCAAAAAATTGCACATTCAACTTAGGAACCCATCCGTGAATAAATCATTCTGAACTGTGAACAGGATCAAGGGCTCATTGAAAAGAATCTGTTGATTTGATTCATAATTTAAACTAAACGACTGAGTTGGATTCAAAAATGTCAACTTCAGAACTGATTTGTGAATGCAATCATGATATATATTCTTGTCTTACACTATAATGTGATTTTTTTTAGGTTGTGAAGCCAGAACTTCAGCAAGTATGAATCATAATACAGCAAAGGCTGTGCTTTCGTGGTTTAAGAAGCTACTTCATTGAAGTATCAACTTCATCTCAGATGTTTCTCCTAAAGGTCCTTGGGAAAAATGTTTGTTAAAATACTACAATGTGATTTTTAAGGTTGAGCATCCACAATTGCAGTAAATATGAATCATAATATATAATAAAGTTTCAAAGCTGAGGAAGGTACATCAATGAAGTACCAAGTCTCAGATGTTTTTCAAATTCCTTGCGGAAAAGGTCTACGACAACTGTTGACAAACAGAAACAGTATAAGGCTGTAAAATTAATGTGCATATAATAGAGCAGATTATTTGGTTTCAGAAGAATCATATACATTTTTTAATTTATACCGAGATCTTTTGAGCACAGTTTAAGACTGTCTCGCTTGAAACTCACAACTGAGTTTCCTAGGGTCTTTTCTTCTCAGAGGCTTAATAAAAACTCTCCATTTAATCTTGCTGCTGTCAAAGAGAAAGGTTTGAGATATTAAAGAGCATGATTTTTCTTTCTATTGGTATCAATAGTGTTAATGCCCCCCTGGGGCATTCCATCCAACCCCCCTGGTGTAGTTCAAGGAAGCCCTGCAGCCCTCCAAAGAGAGTCGTTTATATAAAGTACCAAATTGTTCCCCATAATAGCTTTATAATTTTCCTAATGGAAGAATTCTGCTGGCTCAGGCGGCGGTGCTTGTCTTAGTTAATTTGTTCGGTAGTAAACGCTGATGGAACAGATTACAGGGCTCCCCAGAGAGCCAGGCCCTGCCAGATACTATCAGCTGCATATGCAGCAGGGAAACGTCAGCGAGGCCTCTCTCTCTCTCTGTATAGCTGCTGTTTTTTCTTCCCTCGTTCTCTCATAACCTATCTTTCTCACAGGCCATTACATTTCCTCCCCCCCTCTCTCTTTCTCTGTATAACTGCCAGTGTCGATGTGCCACAGAGCACCTGAGCACTCAAGAGGGTCAACAGCTCAGAGGCAGTCAGGAACAGATAAAAACAAAGCAAGACTCTACACAGGTGAGAGGGGACGGGAGACACACTTCTGCCATGGGAGCTGTACTGTAACTAAAAATGGCGGATATAATTCTGAACAATTGGGTTTATAATTCTGTTAACAGGAAAAGCTGGTTAAGTGAACTAAAATAAAAATTATAATACTAATTGTAGATCACATTCCTAGTCATATTTGCCAGTATTTATTATTCCGTAGTTAATAACCATCAAACTATAATAACTTACTCAGTCTCTAAATCAATTTTTTAGTTTGGATGACATCACCAAGACCTCTTTTATTTAACCCTATTCTTTCAAACTGGTTCCACTCTGGACACTATTCTTGATTAAGTGCATTCACAATGGACAGAACAAAGTCTGGTCCTATTTTTTTCTTATTGTTTCTTAGTGTTGCAGGATATACGAAAATAAAATCAATAATGAGATATGGCTTAGATCGATCACAATTATTAAATCATGCATGCTGTGATTTAATTAAATAATTATAACCACTGCAGGTTTCAGAGTGAATCGCTGCACTGTTTATTTACCGTTAACCAAGCCCCTCTAAGATGCTAAAACACTTTATCATGAGCTGCTTGATTGTAAATAAACACAGTGCTGTGCTTCACTCTAAAACCTGCAGTGCATATAAATATAAAAATAAAAGTTTGACGGTTTAGCATTTGAAAATCAAGAAATTAGGATGGAATTATTAACACTAATTTTACAGATGCACTATTTTTTTATTTATTAAATATTCTATTTGTATTATACACTACAATTGTACTACTACAAACAGTCCTTATTTAAATATTTGTATTAAATTAAATTGAATACAGATTCAATTTTATTAAAAATAATTATATTAAATGGGGCAAAAACTGTGGAAATATTGACTTTGAAAAGTAAAAAGACTTTATGATTTCTGATAGAGGTTTGAGTTGGTTCTTGTAAAGAGTAAACCCAAGTGTGAACACCCAAATCTATCAAGTTTTTCCCTAAATTTTCAGCCCTAAAAGGATGGTTCGCACGCAAAACTGTCTTCAGAGTGAAAGTGATTTTTCAACTTTTTTACATTATTATATTGCACAATATATATAATGTAAACAGTGTTCATTTTTCCCCAATATCATGCCCAATATCATCACACTACTGATGTTGCAAATGCATGTCAGAGCATGCACACTAACAAACAGATAACATCAACAGTTTTAAACTCTTTAAAGTCAACACAAAAGTCGCACCGAGACGACCTCTTCATTGTCCTTTAAAAAAAAAAATTTTAAACTCAAAAATAAAACAACAACAAAAAAGTTTGTACAGTGTACTTGAGTAAGCTAAAAAGATGTTACAGTTTGAGGTTTTTTATAGCTTGGCCTTTAATCATTTGGTCTAAAAAAAGGTGACCTGATTTCTGAAGGGTATGACTTTATACTTAAGTGAAAAAAACAATAAAGGCAAGAGCGTGTATGTGTGCGTTTTGAAAGGCACCAACGGCTGCCATTAGCACAGATAGAGCTAATCTATTTTTACGCTAGCATAGCCATTAAGCCCTTTATCAAAGTCTTTGCTATTGCTGCTACCATTTATAACAAACCTGCTTTGTGTGAGCAACTAATCTCAATGCA